AGTCCGAATAAAGTAATACCAGTGTGCTCATCGGAAGTGCGGAATGCGAATCTGCAGAAATCGGCCCTTTGGACGGCTTTTTCCAAAAAATTAGGGCGCATCAGTGATGGAGGAAAGATAGCGTCCTACTTGCAACAACTTGCTGGAGGCGTAATCCGCAGACTTTTAACCTTCCTCTCCACTCGTTGATGGCTAGACTAATTTAATTAGGAATATTGTGTATTTGAGTGTGGCATAGCAAAACTGGGCTTGAAATTTACCACAGATGGTTCCTGGTGCGGTTCAGGAACACACATTCATATAGTGGATTAGGGAGTTGAGAGAAAGAAAAGCTGTCATTCAGGTCAACGGCGGATGTTGGCATATTTTCTAGGGATACGGGTGATCTCTTAAAGTTACATGCTACGCAGAAATAGATGTCAGCTGATCCTGGAGGTTGCGTGGGTCTATAGTACTTAGTATTTTGAAGCATGCAAAGGCAAGAGATCAGAGAAAAGTGTGAGTTGCATGGCCATGCTGTCTGGTTTTACGATTAGGTAAATTTAGAAAAGCTCCCAAATAAACGAGTGACCCCTTTTACAACAGACTGCGTTGAAGCCAAAGTAAGCAACAGCTCGCGGGGATGAGTATGAAGAACAGTCGTTAGTCGTTGAATTACATTATTATGCGTAGTTGAGCCGCACGTAATAATAATATATATTTCCAACTAGTGTGTGGTACATCGTTCGGCATAACCATAATGGTAAATTCCGAACAAAGACATAACTCGTGGGACTTACAGGTAACGAGGATTGCATATACTGAGCGATCTCACGACATGTTGGTATTATGCGCTGTGGACGCGGTCATGCTTGCTCCGGCAGGATTCAAGTGCTGTGGACATCGGGGTCACGGAAATAACGTTATTAGGGCTTTTACTAGCTTTTGGGGATCCAATCAAGCTGAAGTAAAACCCGCTTTGAATATGAATGCGGCAGCAAAATACAGGGAAAGAGAGCAGAATCAGAGGTTTCCTGAATGGCATGTGATATGAAAACTACAAATCGCGGAAAATGGGGGGTCCAGAGCAACGGATCTGGCAAAGCAGCACAGTTGTTTTGCTGCGGGCGGTCTATTCGAACTGAAACTGAAAAACACTTCTGAGGCTACTTGCCCTTGGATAGCTATGCACACGGTCCGGGTCGCGAAAGCCGAAGGTAAGCATGATACATTGGAGGATTCAACAATGCGGATTTTTACGGGATAAATATCAGAGTCACACTGCACAGAGAGACCGATTAGATTCCCTGACGCCGCTGTTGGACCAGAGCCCTGGGCAACATCACTTTGAACGAGCGGGGTTCTTACTAACGCACATAACAGAGCAAGAGGTGTGGAAAAAAATGATTGACTTCGTGCGGAGCGCAAACTGAACTTTCAGCGAGATGGTTTTATCCGAACAAAAGATTCGACAGATTAGCATGAATCCATTCCGAAAATGGCTGAGGCCATTTGCGGTTGAGGGGATGATTCGGCGATAGGACCTATACAAATGTAAGAAGGAAATAGCTGCGGGTGTGCAGTCAGAGTGGATACGACAGTGCCGTGCCATCGCTGCATTGACATACTTCGGTTTCTGAACATCGTGTTTGAGGTAATCTGTCTGGACTGTGTAATTCTGTGGGTGTGGCGAATTCTGGTTCGCAAGGATAATTTGCAGGGTTGGAAAAAACTGTGTGTAAATGCAGGTATTTTGTGTTTGTTTGGAGGTCCCTTTGGGTGTAATGCGCAGACCAGGTGGAGTGTATAACGGCTAAATGATGCGCCCGAATCAGGTGCTGCACACGATCGGAGCTTTAGAATAGGATAGAATGGGACGAGAGGAGTAACCCCTGGTGAGTTTGTAGAGGTATCAGATAGGTGGAAAACGGTAGCAAAAGGTAACAAGCTGCTGGTTTATTTGTTCTTAGCACTCTAGAAATCAAGAACTGGCTTGATTTGACAATTTAATGCTAATGTAGTACAAGGGGGCGTAGAACTAACCGGCAAAATATGCAGAGTGGTTTGGTGAGGGACATCAAAACCGAACAAACTATTGGCAATAAAAATCTTGGAATGATGGACCAGTTTATCTAGAATTTATTACGTGACTTGGACGGCACTGTAATCTAGAAGGTGAAGGAAATGTAAGGGAAACGGTCACCACTCTCCTTAGCACCGCTATCAGCTTAATTCAATAAGTGGCAAATGGCGAGAAAGCCGTTAGTCACTAGCCTTGTACAATAGCAGTGAAGCATTGGGAATCTCATTTTATATTATTCAGTTTTTAAATTCATCTGTCCACTCCAAGGACTAATAGACACTAGTGTCTGTGTCAGAATTCGTTAACGTAGTAAACTTCGATGCGATGCAACCCTAACCACGACGAAATCGGTCAAAGCGTCAGCGTAAGCCATGGGGGTTGCAAAGTATATTCAGAAATTTTTTCGTAGATGAAATACCAGTTTTTTACCATTTGCAGTTTGTAGCGTTACCAGATAAATAACACAACCTGGACAGCAACGAACACAGCAGCACTCGTTTAGAGCGTTCCCGAATTTAAGGACCTTATTGAGAATCACCGGCGATGGGCGATGTATCCGTGCTAGTGGCGTGCTAGATGGCGAGTATACGAAAGCACCACGTTGAAAAGCAACAGGGTGACCCTCCCTGCAGGGCGTAGACGACCGCCGCATGAGGTCATCTTTCCTCGCGCATCTTATTAGACCTGTAATGGGGCAGGCCACTTTGCAAACGTAATCGAGGCTCGTGAGTCAACAAAGGACTCCGGCTACCCGATGTTTTATCCGGTCAGTTGGGAAGCCTGGTCAGCAAAACAACCCAGACACTTTGAAGGAGCGAGCGGGGATCAAACTCCGGAAAGGGCAGGTCGCGGCGGGGGAAAACAAAGTGGTTTGTATAATTGGAGCTGGATTTGAAATGTCCAGAGAGTGTGCTTAATAGCTAAATGATGACGGAGATTCGGTGTGAGTCACCAAGTGAAGTGCAGACGCGCCGCAATTTTGTGTGCATGTGTTTAGTGAGTTGTGACGCCGCACAAGACTTTCATGCAACTCGCAGCATCAGACAGACTTTCTTAGAGCATGATGCGCGCTCACATACGAGAAGCTCTGATCCTTGTTTTGTTTATGTAGGTGAAGGCTAGGATATACGAAGCTTTTTTCCCTAAAAGGAGCTATTAGTGTAATCCTTGGCGGGGGCTACGGAGACACAGGTACAGCAACTACAATAATGGGCCAATGTAAGTGGCAACGCGTACAGCTGTGCTTTTGATGAAAATGGCTGATCATATTTTCCGGCACTTTCTTCGCACTTTTTGACACAACGGAGCATAAAGACGTCATGCTCTTCAACGGGAAAATTCTCTTGTCGGGTTGGTTTTGATGCACATGCATGTATCTGGAAGCGCAGAATTTCCCCTGATTGGTAGCGCGTACATGAGAATGGTTGATAAATCTAAATTGACATCAAAATAGTTCCCTAGTCATTTACTTAAGTCATCATTGTACTTTTGATTTTGGTCTGTTTTGCTCTTCTGTACCCATCATTGATCTTAACGGCCATCTCGCCGGACACTGACATAATAGCATGAGTATGCGTATGAAAGTGTGAAGGCGATTCACGTCCCCATGCATGTCCGTGTCCGAGCCCGCTCTGACCTGTTCTGTGCGCCACAATTCAGGATTGCTAGGATATCCTCCAAATGGACGACCGCGACCAACACCCAAGTGCCAGTACCCCCTTATCCGTCATCTGATTCATGGATCGTGACACTTCACTCTGCAGGTCAGCAACAGACTTGTGCGCTTTGACGCTACGCACGTGGACTAATGAGATTTGTTGTGTAAGCAAGAAATTTGATCTTTAGTCCAGTTCTTCCTTTTGATATTCGCGTCACTCAGAGGCCGGCATTCGGAACTTCGTCAATGGCTATCGTACAGAGCAATGATTATTGGCAAAGTATGAACTTATCTTCCACGATTATTTTGCACGCCTTCCAAAAATGGTGTTGTGCGAAAATAATGCAAACAATCTCACCTACTTTGTTGCGCTTGAAGAGCTTGACGAATCCAGACGTAGTTGAAGTGTTCACGTGGGTGGAATTTACATCAGGAATTATGCAAATGCTACTTCAATTTAACGAACACACTGGATCGGTAAAATACGCTACGATTTGTTTTAGGTTCTCATCTCGTAAACCGATAATCAAATGAGAGTCGGTTGTAGCGGGTAACCTTGAAAGTTAGCTCACTTAAATAAAGAGTACTAAGCGACACGGCACTGACACACGCAGTCAGGATAGATTTTTACGGATTCACGGGTTGATACAAAGGATCGAGTCTTTTGCCTGAGTTCCCCGGGCCAACTCTGTTCTTGTCGTTCAGGGCTGTCGTTCACCTGAAAGGCACAAGTAGGAAAGGGATTTGTCACTCCTCCTTATGTTTTCAGTGCGGAACAATGTGTTCGCCGGCGCGGGAATCAGCCTACATAAGTGTCCAATGGTGCTTTAAACTGGGTTCTAGAAGAGGCATGGAAAACCATCGGAGGTAAGGTAATCTAGGATAGCTTGCTTCACAGCTCTTTCCATCAACTTGCATGGCACGCTAGCAAGGTTTCTGGGCCAGTAGCGCCCAGGAGATAGTCAGTCACCAGTTTTGTAGTTTGGCGTGACAAATGCTTCATTCCAAGCGGAGGAAAGGCGTCCTTCGTCGAACGACTGACGAAAAACCAGGTATAAATTATGTACCAGTGTAGATGACGTTTTTTCAGGATTCTTGGATGGACCTCATCGGGCCCCAACGCGCAGAGTGGGTTAATCTTGTGCAGACGTTGACGAATGTCCTCCACCGCAGACACGAAGTCGGTTGGAGGCCGCTCGTATGTACGCCTTGATATGAGTGGCTGTGAAGAGGAAGCTGTGGCTGAATATGGACATGCATAGTGTTCTACGTAAACCTCAGGTACCGCTGTTGGGTCGCATGTGCTTCCGCCGTTCCGGTTCCTCCAGGAGAACGCAAATGGCTGGTTTCTGCGGCGGTCCCACATATTTGAACTTTACGTATCTGATTATCCAGGTGAGGTCCAGAACGGTGGCTTGTTTTCGTATGTTCCACTGGCGGATTTCTGATTTGCAGAGGTTCCGTATTTTACAAAATGCCAGCTCGTCTTCTATGTCTCCTGAAGTCAACTTTTTGAAAGATAGTTGAGACCCCTTTTCTAGATGTCGCCGAATTCTTTTGGGCAGCCTCCGGCTCAGCCGACTGCGTGCTGGGTTTTTGGAACGAACATCACGTCAGCCACGTGAGCTTTCTGGACAATGGTCCTATATAAGCCTTCCACTGAATCTGGTCACAGTTTAACTTGTTCCAGAAATACTCGCATTCCTGAAAAGTCTACACGGCAGAAGTTTCGAGTCCATGTTGAAGGCTCGGAATTTTCAGCCCAATAGCAGATAAAATCAAACGTTAGCACACAGCGGTCGCTGTTTCCCAGCGGAGCGGTAATTATTACCTGATCAACGAAGTGTCTTTCGTCGGTGATGACCAAATCCAGGAGGGATGCTGGTTGGCCTGCGCGGCATCTGGTAGATTCAACGACATGTTGAGTTCAAGCGCTGTTTTGAACGGATTCAATCAGTGGTGCTGAAAGCCTCTGCTTGATCCGATGCCCTGAAGCTCCACCCAGAAGGCTTTTGAAGAGTTGAACTCGCCTACCGGCAGATGCGTTAAGAGGTAGGTGGAGAACGGTTGCTCAAGTGTTCATATGAGGAGTTGGTCATCTTCAGAGCGACTGGGAGTTACGGTAAACCACACCGCGAAGGGGAGAATCGGACACGCGCAGCAGGATATAGATCCACAGTGCATCGCGAAAAAGTGCGGGAATGGTACCAGAGAGGACAATTGGGATGGACAGGGCAAAATGTAAATACACAGCAATCCCGCAAGTCCTCTCCCGTTTTGAGTGAGCTCGAAAAACAGAGTGAGCTTCTTCTATTTCCGCCTCGAAGACACCAGGTGTGACCCAGGTCACTGTGAGCTTGATCATCGTCGGTGGTCCAAGGCAACCTAACAGTTTATTATAAAAAAGTGTGTTGAAAAGTCTAAGGCAGTTTGTGAACAAGCATTTCAAAACTGTCTCTGCTGGATCCGAGGGTGACATACGGGTTGGGTGAACGGCGAGCTTAGCGGACAAAAAAGACACAGGATCACGGATTCACGGATTGATACACAGGATCGAGGCTTTTGCCCAAGTTTCCCGGGTCGGTTTTGTTCTTGTCGGTCAGTGGCTATCGTTCACCTGAAAGGCACAAGTGAAAAAAGGGTGTAGCACTGCTCTTTATGTTCTCAGCGCGGGGCAGTATGCTTGCCAG